GGCAGGAGTCTGCCTTTCCTTCTTTCTTCGGGACACGTACTGAGCAGACACTGAAACACATCCAGCTGGGAGTCTGATAATTATACAACCTTAAGACCCTGGAAGCATGATGCCAAGTCTAGGGGGGCAGTTCCTAGATAAACTGGTCCGTGATGAATGGGGGACAGTGAACGATTCAAGGGAATATCCCCACTCCCCCCCAACTCTGGCAAGTAACTCAAAGTGCTTCTTCATGATAGCCAGTATCACTATTTTCAGATCAGAAAGACCACAAGTTACAAGAGGGAGTACTATTTTGTGCTGTTTTTCTAAATATAAAAATAAACAAGGCTTATAAATCTTTACCCATAATACTTTTTCTTTCATTTTCTCTCTTTACTGCCCAGGACAGTCAGTGTTTCTCAGAGGTCCACTTCTGGAAGAGGTAAGCTTGTTGGTAGTGGACCTATTATCCCACTGAAAACAACTGGGAAGCCTGTTTAAAATACAAGTGTGTACATTGGAAACATACTAAGAACTTGAGGGGTCAAGATTCCAGAGAGAAGGACAATTCACTGGTGTGAGCTCTGTATTCTAAGCCCATCTTCCCTGGGGCGCCCGGGTGGCTCAGTCAGTTAAGCATCTGCCTTCGGCTCAGGTCATGATCTCAGGGTCCTGGGATGGAGCCCTGCTTTGGGCTTCCCTGCTCAGTGGGGAGGCTGCTTCTCCCTCTGCCCCTCACCCCATTTGTGCTCGCTCTCTCTCTCTCTCTCAAATAAAAAATAAATAAAATCTTTAAAAAAAAGTTATAAGCCCATCTTCCCCATGAGGCATTTGCTAATTCTTACACAATCACAGAGAGGCTGAGAAGCAGATCAGAAATCAGGCTCTAAGAGGCTTTCTGGAATTCCCTAGGGCTACGAATACAAAATGTGAGTTCAAGGCTTCTGAAGCAGCCAGGACTTGGGTCAGATAGAAGGGATGTGCAGTGTAGTGAGTTTATACATCTGATCTGTTTGTGTCTCAAAGCATTCCTTAACTCCTCAGCTGTGCATGCAGAGATGAGGTGAGCAGAAAGTGGTAGCCAAGATGCTGAGCGGCTAAGGAGAGATTTTAAAAGCAGTCTCATTGTATAAAACTAAAAATAAAATTCAAGGCCCTGTAAATTCTCTGGCTTAAATCAGAACTCCTGTAGAAATAAAGAATAAGAGAAATTGGAAATAGACCAGATCTCACAAAGACTGAACCCTAATGTTAAAACAACTCAAGATGATCATCTCTTATTCTAACTAGTTGCCAGAACTGAAGGCCCTTCAGAGTCCTTGCAGTATTTCACAACACAATGTCCAGCATTCAGTCAGAAAACACCAATCATACCAAGAGTCCAGGCGATAGAAATAGACTCCTAGATAACAACTTCAATATTGGAGTTATTGAATACAGATAAAAAATAACTATGACTAATATAATTCAATAAAATAGACAAGATGGCAAACTTCACAGAGAAGTGGAAGCCAGGAAATAGAATCAAATGGAAATTCTAGGATTCAAAACACAGTGATTGAAATTTTGTACAAAGTGGATGATTAGCCACGGCTGAAGAGAGTAAATTATCTGGAAGTAGGTCAGTAGAAAATATCTGGATAAAAGCCAAATAAAACAAAGAACGGAAAATAAAAAGAATCATAGGAAACATATGGAACACAGTAAAAAGACTTAACATGTAAATTGGGGAAGAAGGAAGAGAGAAATCGTTCAGAACCATTATTGGAAAAAATAGACTAGAGTTTTGCAAAACTTACAAAAGAAACGAAGCCATAGATTCAAATATCATTATAAACCCCAGGCATAACAAATGCAATGGAATTCACCCAGGCATGTCGTCAATCTGCTGAGATCGATAGACAGAAATTCTCTAAGATGCCAGAGGAGAAAAGGAGCAGCAAGAACACGGATGGAGACAGGAGACTTCTCAGTGGAAACTATGGAAGGCAGAAGACAATGGAAACACTGAAAGACAATAGCTGTGAACCCAGAATTCTATATTTAGTAAAAATATTCCTCAAAAATGAAGATAAGGATATTTTCAGACAAATAAAGGCCTGATAATATGCCCAGCAGACTCACACTAAAATGCTAAAAGGAATTCTCTAGTCATAGGAATATCCTGTTAGCTGGAAGCATTAAACATGCACAATAGAATAAAGTATATGAGGAAGGGTAAGTATATAACCGTATAAAACTGTAACTACAATTTCGGTGGCATTTAAAACATCTGTAGGATTAAAATCCATGATGAAAATAATACAAAAGATGATTAGTAAATGGGGTTAAATGTTTTGTCCTTGCATTTCCCAGGAAGTAGTAAAAGTGCTAATTTATTTTCGATTATAATAAGTATAGGATGCATATTGCAATTTCTAACAAAGCTGTGGAAGTAATATTTTAGAAAATGTATAATTAACAATCCAATAAAGGGAAAAATGGAATGAAAAAAATACTTCATTAACTCAAATAAGGTAACGAAGGAGAAAATTCAGGCGTGTGAGTCAAATAGAAAACAAATAGTAAGATAGTAGATATAAACCCAGCTGTATCACTAGTTACATTTAAGGTACATGGATTAAACAATTAAAAGGCAAAAAGATAGACTGAATTTCAAAAAATACATCCTTCTATATAGTTCCTAAAGGGATATACATGAAATGTAATGCACAGAAAAGTTGGAAGTTACAGGATGGAAGATGACACGCCACGCAAGCATTAACCAAAAGAAAGTTAGTATGGTCATGTTTACTAATGTCAAACAGAGTAGATTGTAGGTAAGAAGAAATGCACAGATAAAGAGAAACGTGTCGCACAATGAAGGCTTCAATCCAACAGAAAGATAGAATAATTTAGTCTTTATGAACTTAATAATATAGCTTTGAAATATATAAAGCAAAATTGACAGAACTATAAAAGAGCAAGCCCCTCACAATCAGAGTGGGGGACTTTAATGCACCACCTGTAGAAATTGACTGACCCAACAGAAAAAGATGAATCAGTAAGGAGAAAGTTTAAACCATAGAATGACTTTGTAGAACATGGCGCCCAACACCTGCGGAGTACACATTCCTCCCAAGGTTGAAATGGAAGAGTCACCAAGAATGGCCATGTTTGTCCATAAAGCAGCCCTTAATAAATTTCCAAAATTGAAACCATAGAATAAATCAGTATTTTTAAACTTTTTCTAATCCATAACACGTACCAGGGGATCACTGTGCCCAGAGTGGCTATGCCCACGCTCATCCACCTGTGCTTCTCACCTCTGAAGGCTCCCATCTTCTCCGGCGACTCTGGGCCCAGAGGGAGGCTCATTTCCAGCTCAGAGGCCTGTCCTTAACCAATTCATCACTTGGTTTTTGCTCATAATACTGGTATTTATGTTTTTGTTCATAAATTTAGTTCTCAGCTGTATTTTAAGCTCCTGAAAGGGCACTGTCCTCCTTTGTGGCACTCAGAGGTGGGCCTGGACACCGTGTGGCCCTCAGGAACATTGGGAGCCAGCGTCCGATGCAGCTGGCTTGGACGCCGTCACTGACTGGAAACATTCTGATGGGCTCAAACTGTTCAATCATTACAATTTCAGCTTTTGAGAATCACTGTAATCAGGGATCCCATGAGAACGAGGGAGAGGAGTCGGGGTGGGGTGGGGGGAGTCTGGTCAATGATGTTTTTACATTTTGTTTTGTCAAAGCTCCCCTGGGGACAAACACTGTGAGGTCCTGCTTGGGACCAAGGATGCCATCAGCACACCTGGCGGGGAGATCCCTCCAGGGACTGGCTCCACGAGGGGCCATGTGACGGTGAGTGATGAGAAAGGCCCCCAGCACCTCTGAGTGGAGACCCGTGGAGGGGACGCCTCCCTCCCAAGCACTGTGCTGAGGGCGCACTGACATTTCCTGCGTCAAATCACAAAGAACTCTAAGAATGTTTTGTGAGATTCAAGCACAAAACAGAAAAATTAGAACTATATGAACAAAACAAACCAAAGAAAACAAACAACACTTAGACATCCGTTTACTGCTGGAAGGGGGCAGAGCGGTGGTTGGTGATGAAGAGGGAAAGGCTCAGGAATCAGGGGCACCTGTGTCCTGCTCTGCCACCGACCGGGCGACTCGGGAGTCGGGTGTCCTCTCTCTGCCTCCGGTTCCTCAGCTGGGATCACAGGGTTATGAAAGCCTCAGCCCTCGGATCCCAATCCCCAGGCCTCCGTGCTACAGCTGACTTGATGACAACAAAGAGAAGAGAGGACTTTTGCTTCTCTTGAGAAGAGCGTGCAGCCAGCAATCACAAATAAAATGACTTAGTTTAAGTCAGTTTCCATCTGTGTTCTAGAACAAAATACCAATCCACCGCCAAAACTGTACCTCAGGGGAGAAGTTCTCTCCCCAGGCCTGTTCTCAGACGTGATCCGTGAACTCCACAGACCCGCCTTTCTGGGGAAAAGGCAATCTCATTGTGTCTTAAGTAGCTTCCTCCCAGCCTCACCTCATGAGTTAAGCAGAGGTATAACCTGTCCACAGTCAGAAGGGGTTTGGATAAGAAAGCTTGCTTCAAGACATGCTCTTGGTGGGTCCCCGGAGAGCTGCTCTGGGTCACCTTCCACACCCCAGAGACCCAGCCTGTGTTTCCATGTCCGGTACGCATTGTGGTGCAAGGACATCGCGTGTGTGTTTCATGCACGTGCGTGTGCACTCTGCAAGGTGCCCCCACGGGAGGGAGGTGTGCAGGGCTGACTCTGGTTCGTCATGACAGAATTCTCAAAAGCTGAGTTGAGCTTCCTCAAACCCTGTCCCGTTTGAAAAGATGAACCTCAAAAGGCTCTTCTTTCTCAGACTTGGTAATTTTTGTTTCTTTAGAAAAAAAAAAAAAGACAAAGACAAAAAGAAACCCACACAACCCTCTAGCTTAACATTTAAATAGCTGAGCTCTACTTGGAATTGCACGAATAAAACACGTTTCCTTGTGCAGCATGGTTAACAACATGTGTACATATATGCTCTTTATTCCTGAGGGGCTGTGGGGTCTCACAAAGTCTGGATTTCCTATAGAGGGGGCTCCTTCAGAGCAGATGGCCGTGTTGACTGTCCTCTGCACCTCTTCAGAGCCTCCCCGTTCCCTTCCACTTACTGGAGAGAGTTTCCTGCTTGGAGAGAGGAGATTTCCTTGAGAAATTCGATGCGCTCTGCTTGCTCCCATGAGCCTGCCTTGTGGACCCTCCCAGGGAGTCCTGCAGCTGCAGGAACTAGAGGATCATGGAGCCAGCCTCCAGCGTCCCCGGTCTGTGGGCTGCAGTCTCAGGGGCTGTGGGGGCTGGACAGAGCTGCGGGAGGAGAAGGTCCTGGGCAGGGGTGCGGGGGGGCGGGATGAGCTTGCATGACGGACATCACCCTGCAGACGCGCAGAGGATGGTAGGGAACAGGACGGAAGCCGGAGAGGTGAGGGCTGACGGGGCAGTGTTCCTTGCCGGAGGGAGAAGGGGAAGGTGTGGGCTCTCGGGTGAGGTTGGCAGTGAGCCAGGTGGGGGAGAGAACTGGCAGGACCTTGGGGAGAGCATGAGGCCGTGACCCACACAGAGGCAGTCACAGAGAGAGGAGGACGGGGTGGGGGAGCAGCCTGCACCCTTTAATGCCTCCCTGCCGCTGCCTTCTGCCCGCAGACCCAGTGGGGGCTCCTCCGAGCTCTGCTGGCTGGGCTGGGGGGGCTCCTGCCCTCGGGGGCACCCGCTGTGGACCCACTCCTGTGACGTCGGGCTCCTGGAGGTCAAGGACCTTGGTCCTTCCTGTCCATGCACTGCTGGGGCCCCAGCCCTGGCCCTCGAGGAGTGTCCGCTGCCCGTCCCCCAGACATCCAGGCCCAGGGCCAGCCTGCAGGGGCTTCATCAGGTGGAAAGGCCCTGCCTTAGACACTGGAGCCATTGGAGACTTTATTGTTCTCACGACAGGACTCTCCAGTCCCAGGGAACCGGGAGTTTGGAGAAGTCTCTCACGAAGTCTGCCTAAAGCAGCAGAAATTGGCTGGATGTCAGTACGTCGGTGAATTTGCAGTGAACGGAGCAAACACTAACCTCCCTTTCTACCTCCGATTACTGGGGGGAGTCCTGCTGGGGGGAGGTGCTGACCGGGGACGGGGGGCTGGGATTTCAAGGCCCCAGGGCTGGCTCTGGCCCCGCAGCGTCCAAGTGGCTCCTGGCTGTGCTTGGTGACAACTCTCACAACCGGGAGGTCTCTAGTGACGTGTCTGGGACTCCATCCTGGCTGTGGCATTTACACAAAGGGCCAGACGGCAGGCTGGCCGCATTGAGCATGATCGGGGGCTTGGAGGAACAGGCGACAAAAGAGGGGAGACCCAGAAGGGTCCCAACAGGCTGGAGCAGAGAGATGACCTAACAGTGCCCTGGCATGTGGGCTCTGCGAGGGCAGGGCCGTCTGTGTCTGCAGTGTGAAATCCCGAGAACTCTGAATGGTGCCCGGCCCATGGCAGGTGCTCAGTAAACACCAGGTGAAGGTGGACGAAGCTGGCCAGGTTTAAATGTTTGGTCCTGGATCTACTTGGATCTACAAGGAGCCGATGCGTGTGGCTTAGCGGTCACATTTACAAATCCTTGCAAGTCTTCATGAACACTAGCTTGAAATTAGGGTGTGATGCGTCCCCAAAACCAGCCGGTCTTAGGGTGCACCACGGGGGTGGGGTAGGTAGAAGGCTGGAGGTGTTGATTTGAACCATCTATGTGACTACAGGGTCTACCTGGGAGTGGCTGGGAAGACAGGAGACGACTGGCCTGGAGAAGAGGCTCAGAGGTGTTCTGGAAAGTTCCAGGGAGAAGCATGGGGCCTGGACAGAAGCCACTAGGGGGAAATTTGTGGACCAACCTCAGTAACTAGGAAGTGGTCTTGAAAGGGCAGGGGGTCAGGGGATGGAGGTCAGGGGTGCCTGACCGCCATCAGGCAGGTCAGCCCCAGGTGTGGGGGTGTGGGGCTCAGCCCCAGGTGGGAGGCTGCCTGCAGTGAGGTTTGGGGACTTTCCTGGGCCTGGCCGCAAGGTGTATGACGGCAGCCCCACGCACCCAGGACGTGGTCCGTGACTCCTCGGATTTGGACTCGGGGGGGCCAGGAGTCCCGCACTGACAACACAGGAAACCCCTTCGGGGGCTCCCTGCCGGTCTGCCCAGGGACTGAGTCACCTGCCCCTCCAGAGAGCAGTTCCCTGGAGCAGACCGTTTACTTCTCTTCACAGCGGGGGACGTCCCAGCATAAGGAGCCACTTATCTATTATTCCAGTTTACCTGAAGTTTTTCCAATGTTTTGAAGGATTTTGTCCAGAATTGATAGTTTTTTATATTGCTCATTTTGTGAGTTCTTCTTTCCTGTGGAAAAAACAAGTACAATGATCACGATTTGGTCGATCATGAACCATGACCCCAAACATCTCTCCTTTTCAACTTCAGAGGCCTTCAGGGGGCCCAGAACCAAGAGTGTATGGCTTATGCTCTGGCGCTGGGTGGAGACCAGCTCTCGTCATACTTTCTCTGTTTTCTCCTTACCCTCTGGGGATGCGCCTGCCTGGTTCCCCCTGTGGGTGATGCTCCTGGTCACTTGGATGCTGTCCTTGCATCTGGACACATATTTCGTAACACATCTCACTCCTCAAAAGGGCGAACCCCTACCCTTGCCCTGTCCAGGCCTTTTTACCAATATTGTGTGGGACTGGTCTTGCCACTGGGGAGAGGGACAGATTGTGGGTTCATGGGCTGGGTCCAGGGTGGACGCCGGCACCACAGAGTCGGGGTGGGAGAGGGCCCATGCAGAGCAGCACCCAGCCTGTGAGGCTCCCTTCCTCAGGATGCGGCCTTAACTGTGGTCCACAGGGCCTTCTCACCCCCTTCTCCTTCCTGACCTTCCCTACTTTCAAAGTGTCTCAAGGAGACCCGCCCCCCTGAAGTTCTCCCAAAACTCCATTTGAACACAGCCAGGAACACTTAAGAAAAATTTAACTTTAGCACATTTCTATTTGTCCAGCATATGAACCCTAAGTTGTTGCTGGCTGGTCTGCATCTCCCCTTGCTCTGCGGGTGTTTAGAAAAGAACAACCCCTCCTTTACCTATAAGCATCTAGCAGGTGCTCCGTAGGTATTTATTGAGCGAGTGAGTGAATCTTTTGTTGAAGCTAACGCCAATAGGAAATTAATGATTATGGCATAAAATTACATGTGTCCCATGGGACACTTAGATGGTAATAGAACCTGAAGTTCAGGCACATTCTGGATGTCAGGAGTGGTGCTTTGGGTCATGAAGACTTTTCAGACATTCTGGAAACCACACAGGCTGTTGGTTATTCTGGCAACAAGACAGGGAAGCTCTCTGCAGAGTCTTCAAGCTGCTTTAGGCTTTTAAAATATTACTCCCAAGTTATTTTAAGGCAACAAATTCATATTTGTAAAAAGTATTATAAGCTCATGGTAGAATTTTAAAATTTGAAAAAGAAGGTCTGTGGAAAGTAAGGCCATTTCCGATACTTGACTGCTCATTTCCAGCTTTCTCCTGGAGGCCGAGATTGCCATCCGTTTCTGTGTCTTCCAGTGATAATCTATACCACAAAGATTGTTGCCAGCATCATCCTCTCCCTGAATGTTTCAAGCCACATTTACATTTTTTTAAGAGGAAATAGCTCAGGAAATTTTGGCAGACAATTCAGGCTGGCTGACTTATGGCAACATAGAATTCATCAATAAGTATAAAAATTTTTGCATCTTCATTTTGCTTATTTGTGGAGTATAATCTACAGCCTTTAGGATTCCACATATCATGGTAACATTTACAGGGTCCCTATGTAGGTGTGGTTCCATTTGAACATCAGTGCACCTGATGGGGCTTGGGGGAAATGTTTACTTTCCGTTTGTAGATGAGACCCCAGTGAGGCAGAGCAGCTTTGCCTCAGGTCACTGAGATGGTGTGAGGCCCGGCTGCGAGAGAATCCTTTCAGGCCGTCCTGAAGCCTCTGTCAGAGTTGAAATGCAGGGCTTTTCGTAGCTACAGGATTCCCAATGGAACCACATGGGTGAAAGTCCACTATCTGAACTTTCATGCATGGAAAAGATGGAGTAGTGAGGACCAGGTTTATGCTCCCAATTTAACTTAAAAACTAGGAAAAAAGATAGGAAACAATGATTGCCCATACATCAGACAACAGGCAACAAGGGACATGATCCCTGAGAAGAGAAATTGACAAGAGGCTCCTCATGACCGCTCCCATTCCTGCCTGGAGAGTTTCGTCAGCATGACAAGTGAGGACATAGGCAGAGCCCTGTGGTCTCACCAGGAGGAGATGGAAGTGGGAGAGGCCAAAACAGCTAGAGAGGTCAGAGAACTGGGAGACCTGCAGAGGGTTGTCTCAAGTCTCCAGCTGAGTACGGGTCAGTGAGAAGCCGTAGGAAGCCTGAGGATGGAAAAAGAACCCCCAAAAGGGTGACAGAACAATTTCCAGAACTCACACAGGCCAGAAGCAGACAGCGTCCCCACTGGTACACATAAAAAGCCTCATTAGACACAAGGCATACTCAGAGTTCTGTTGCCTCAGTATCGGGGAATAGTCACCTGAGAATAAGTACTGCTTGGTCTTAACTAACAAAGCTTAAATGAGAACCTCAAAAGGATCAACTCTTTCAAAGTTATTTAACTGGGTTCAAGAGCAAAGCTTGCTAGTATTTTTTTTTGAAGATTTTATTTATTTATTTGAGAGAGAGAGAATGAGAGATAGAGAGCATGAGAGGGGAGAGGGTCAGCGGGAGAAGCAGACTCCCTGCTGAGCAGGGAGCCCAATGTGGGACTTGATCCCAGGACTCCAGGATCATGACCTGAGCTGAAGGCAGTCGCTTAACCAACTGAGCCACCCAGGCGCCCGCTTGCTAGTATTTTTTAAAATACAACAATATGTAACACTCAACAAAGTGAAATTTATAGTATCTGGCATCCAAACAAAAATGACCAGGCATGAAAATAAGCAATAAAATATGATCTATAAAAAAAAGATCTATAATGAGAAGAATTAATCAATCAAAAGTGACCCAGAAATGACATAGATAATAGAATTAGAAGGCAGGGCTATTAAAGTTTATCATAACACCATATCCCATATGTTCAAGAAGCATAAATTCTCAGATTACATAAAAAAAGCAAGACCTAATTGTACACTGCCTACAAAAACCCACTTTAAATATAAAGCACAAGTAGGTTGAAAATAAAGTGATGGAAAAGATCACCTAGGCAAATGCTAATCAAAAGAAAGCTAGAGTGGCTATTTAAATTTTAGACAAACTGTCTTTAGGAGCAAAGAATATCACTAGGAATAAAGAGGGTCATTTCTTAATGTTAAAGCAGTAATTCATCAAGAAGATATAACAATTCCATATTTTTATGCATGCAGATGAAACGCAATGAAAGAGCTTCGAAGTACATGAAATGAACAGTGCTAAAGCCAAAAGATATGGTGTGCAAATCCACAGTTATCATCTGAGATTTCAATTCTGCTTTCTTAATAGTTGAGTAAACAAGGAGACAGAAATTCAATAAAGATATAGAATGCTTGACCATGGTGGTTCACCTACTTGATCTAATTGACATTTATAAAACACTCCACAAATCAACAACATATACACATTCTTTTCAAGTGCACATGGAATACTTGCTAAAGTACGATATATTTGGGGCCATATGGAAAGTTTTTAAAAATGCATTAAAAACATCCAAGTCATATAATGTGTGTTTTCTGACCAAAACGGAATTGAATCATAAATCAATAACATAGTGGTATTGGAAAAGTCTCCAAATATTTGAAAATGAAATAGCACATCTCTAAATGGCCTACAGGTCAAAGCACAAATTTAAAAGTAGAGTTAAAAAGCATTTTCAACTGAATGAAAATAAAAACGTAGCATAGTGAAATCTGTAGGATGAGTTTAAAGTAGAGCTAAGAGGAACTGAACGTTCATAATAAAAAAGAGGAAAAGTCTCAAATCTACAACCTAAGTATTCATGTTAACAAGTCATTTTAAAAAGGAGAGGAAAAAAACCCTCAAAATAAACAGAGGAAAGAAAATAATAAAATTAAGAGAGGAAATGACTATGATAGAAAATAGAAAAATAATACAGAAAAATGAAACCAAAAGCCTGGTTCTCTGTGCAGTTCAATAAAATTGATAAACTACTAATTAGACCACTAGGGATAAAAAAAAAAAAAAGGCAGAAATTACTGGTATCAAGAATGAGAGAGCTGACATCACTATAGTTCCTGCAAACATTAAAAAGTGTAATAAGAAACTATTATGAACAACTTTTACTCTTTAGATGAAATGAGCAAATTCCTCTAGACATGCACTACCAAAGCTCACTAAGGAAGATATAGAGACACTAAATAGCCCTTTATCTACAGAAGGAATAAAATATGTACTTAGAATCTTTCCACAAAGAAAATATAAGCCCTAATGTCTTCATTGGTAAATTCTATGAGACATTTTAGGAGGAGGCAATATCCATTTCATACAGACATATCTAGAAAACTGAAGAAAAGGGGACACTTCCCAACTCCTTCTGTGAAGTCATTACCTTGAAACCAAAACTAGACAAAAGCATCAGAGAAGAAAAAAACTATAGGCCAGCATCACTCATGAATATAGATGCAAAAATTCTTAACTAAATTTTTGCAAATTGAATCGAAAATATATAAAAAGGAAACTGTATCATGGGTTTATCTTGAAAATACAGGTCTGGTTCAACACTCAAAAATCAAGACACGTAATTCACCATATGAACAGAATAAACAAAAACCAACTGATCATTTCAATAGATCAGGGGTTGGCAAGCTATGGCTTATAGGCCAAATATGGATCAGCACTGGTTTCAGTAAATAAAGTCTTATTAGAATGTGGCCACACCCTTCTTTTATGTATTGTCTTTGGCTACTTCTGTGCTACAATGGCAGAGGTAAGTAGTTGCAACAGGGAACCATATTGCCCTTAAGGACTAAAATATTTATTATCTGACTTTTTACAAAAAAGTTCTCTATGCCCACAATGGATGCACCTAAGTTTGAAAGAATGTCTGTTCTTACCATTTGTATTTAACCTTCAACATTGTACTGGAGCTAGCGGAGTAAGGCAGGAAAAACGAATAGAAGGTGTAAGTATTGGAAAGGAAAAAAAAAGTCTATTCACGGATGATATGCTTCACTATGTAATCAATCCCCAGGAATCTACAGGAAAGCTTCCAGAACTGAAGATTGAGTGGAGCAAGGTGGAAGGGTGCAGAGTCTTGTACAAAACAATCACATTTCTATACACTAGAAATGAACAATTGGAAGTCAGAATTTTAA